CAATAAAGCTATTTGCTAATAACTAAGAAATCCTAACTTTTCAAAGATTTTAACCCAGAGGTAACTTTCTTTTTATATAGGGAACTGGTTTCTAAAATAATAAAAACCCAAATTCAAGTCCATTGTCATCAGATCCAACTCACAATGACTCTATAATACACAGGAGACTGCCCTGCAAAGTTTGTAAGTCTGTAAATATTTATAGCAGCAGACTGGCTCATCTTTCTTCTAAGAGGCTACTGGTGAGTATAAAGAGTCAGTTATTTGGTCAACCGTCAAATACTTTAACCACACGATAACTTGTTGTTGTTGCTGCTGTGTCCCACTGAGTTGGCCCTCATTTGACCCACAGCTGACCCTCTTCAGGTTTCCAGAGGAGGTAAATCACCCAGGAGGAGATAGTCCGCTCTCCCAGGGAGCAGTGGGTGGATTCAATTAGCACACTTTGGGGATCACAACACAATTTCTGGCCATATTCATAAATATGTCTATGTTCATAAAAAAAGTTTATAGCAAATAAGTCCATTTTAAACTGCTTTTGGTTGTATACCTACAACATAACACAGGAAAAAAGTAACTTAAAATAGTTTCCATGTATGTTGATGCTGTATTATCTACCTACAAATCATCTGTTTTTAATTTTAGGTTTACCTTTTCTCCAACTATATAGATTATAGTGGAGAACATAACCCATTACATTTTGTTGGCAAGGGAAATTTCTATTACCTTCTTCCATCCTGGATTAAAGTCGTAGCTTATGCCAGTTATTTGGCCAAGGAAAGACTAAATGCACTTTAGATACATTTCGTTTCATAAGGAAACACTCTTTCTCCTCTACAGTATAAAAGATTAATTGAAGAGGCACAGATGACATGATTTATATAAAACCTTTTTTATTTAGACAATAAAATTCCCATATTAGTATTGATATGGATGGAAAATATCTTCCACAAAGTTGTAATAAGTATTATATGTTTTAGTTAAAATGATTTTAATAAGGATTAATGTAACCTCTCTAATAGATTTATGGTTTAAAAAAACTTAATCTTGGGTGATTACAAATGCATGACTATGTTATCAAGATTCAGACATGGTTCAGAAGTTTACATTGATGTGCTATGAGCAATGTGTAAATTTTATTCATACCGGTATAATTTAATTTCTGAATTATTTGAGAATAAACTAGTTTAATAAACACATATGAATAAGTACAAGGATATTGGATTAAGACCTGAGATTCTGAATTAACCTATCAATTTCAGAAAAGTTCAAGCTGGCTGAATGAGTAAATTATTAAACGAAGACTCTACAAAACTTTGTTCTTTAGTAGAAGACAGAAATAATAGAAATGAACTTAAATAACCAAAATCTGAAGAGATTCTCACAGGAAAAATGTATATTAAGAGTTAGCAATTTAACCTGGATGAAGCTTGAAAATATCTTCCAGAGAAAAGGAAATTAATCATCATAGGACAAATACCGTATGACCTAATGAATTAAAAATAGGAAAATATATTTTAACAAAAGAAAAATAATGACTTTATAAGAAAGATAAGGGGGGAAAGTGATTCTATACATACAGGGCATTGAAATTATGTTCATGGTGATTAAATGGTTTGGACACAAGAAGAATGTAACCAGTAAATGTACGTGAAGAAATTATTAAGATAACATGCTCTATCATGTGGGTTTGTTTTGTTTTGTTTTAAACAAAGACAGAGATACAGACAAAAAGGTAACCATTACTATAATTGTAAACTCTCAGATTCCTCTAGTAGCATAACAAATCACTCAAGAAAGATTATAACAGGAATGTAACATTTAGCTTTCCCAATTCCTTGCCTCTTGCAAACCATGTCGTTCTTATGCCATTGTAAATTATAACCACACACCTACAGGATTTGAGTCTTTAAGTTGAACTTATTTTTTTGTAATTGTATGTACATTCTTCTCCAGAGTATTTTTTCTCTATCATCTATTAAGGAATCAACATATTACTTCAGCCACTTAACAATGAATAAGACTTAAAAATGAAATCCCATTCCAAAGGCAGCTGACTGTTGTTACAGACATGTCTCTGTCTGCTATCACGGCTCCTTTCCAACAGTCCTTCAGGCACGGGATCTTCTTAAACCTTCATGTACTTCTATTACCAAAAATTAGATAAAAAAAAAAGAAAAAGTGGCAGATACTCCATAAGCAAAATAAGTGGAGTTAAGTGAATGCTAATCCTGGCATGTTCTTCTAGTTTTTTAAAATAATTGCCTACTGAACTGAACGTCATTTTCCATACAGATTAATCAAAATAAATGCATATTTTCTTTTAGTAAGTATTGCTTAAAGGGTTCAAATCATCTGCACTTTCTCCTTCCAAATCCATAAACTGGTGGAGTAATTAAGTCATCAGTGAACATGTGATATATAAGATTCAACTTTTCTCTTTTAATAAAATAAACTATCCTCCTCCCAGTCAGAACAGACTTTGAGCTTTCCTTCAGATGGATTTTGGACACAGCAAATCACAAGGGTGAACATTGCTCATCTTTCTCCCAAGAAGCAGCGGGTGGATTTGAACTCTCAGAGAGATGCTACCGGTGTGTCAGCACAACAGCTCCTTGCAGGCTGTTACCAGAACTCTCCTTTGACATTCACAATTAGTTGAGGGGAAACCTGGCCATATGTTACACGCATTACAAGAATTAATCTCTATTCCATGTTGCCTCAGCATCTATGGGCTTGTTTTTTTTTTTCCTTTTTTATCAACAGGCTGACCTTTATTTCAAAGCTAAAGATATAGTGGTTTTCCGTTATTTCCAGAAGTCCATCAGAGACTTCTCCAAACATAAGCAATGATGTCATCCTGGAAACTAAGGTGCACCTGATCCAGGCAATAGTTTTTGCTATTATTTGGTATGCATCAGAAAGCTTGGTAATGACTAGGGGTGATAGAAGAATTGTTGCCTTTGGGCTGTGGTGATGGAGAAAAGCTTTGAATATACCACAGACTGCTAGCAAATAGGTTCGTCCTTGGGAAGTTGAGACCCGGCTGCTCCTTGGAGGCAAGGATTCTAAATTTTTGTCTGACATACTTTGGACATGTTGCAAGGAGGGATCAGTTCTTGGAGAAGGACATCATGCTTGGGAGGGTGGAGCAATAGCACAAAAGAAGAAGACTCTCGATGAGGTGGATTGTTTCAGTGACTGGGGTAATGGCGGTGGGTGTGTCAGAGACAATAACATTGGCACAGGATAGAGCAGGGTTTTTTAAGGCTGTTGTATTTAAAGTCATTATGAGTCACAGGCAACTCAACGGCACATAACAACCGTCCATTAAGTGTTGAGAATTGATAATTTAATAGGCTTTATAATTGTTAAAATGGGGTAAATGAATTAACTATTTTTATAAGAAATGTATTCTTTTTTTACTCTATTACTCTGTGAATGGGTCTCCATGGTAGACAGAAAAAAGAAAGAAAAAAACACCATCACAACAAATTAGATTTCCTTGATAAATTACATTTTGCCTTGCTAAAATATGCCTGATTTATTCTATAGTAAGAAGAAACAAAAATGGGTCCTTTTATAGGGCGGGAAGCTATTTGCAGAGTACAAGAACTGATAGACTTCTTTTTGGCTCTGTGTCAATCATACCTAGGAATTGAATGGCCTTTTTGCGTGCTGAGAACAAGATACTTCTGTAGGCATGACAACAAACAAAAGCTGTGTTTTGTTGTATATATGTTTGTGTACATTTGCACCTGATAGAATTACAGGTCAGGCTAACTGAGGAAGAAAACACTTGAAAAGGAGTTTTCATTTTGGTTTTATTGTAGTGAACAGTATTTTTCATTTTCTTGAAAGGCACCCAAGAATGATAACTTTTATGAGTCAAAAAATATACAAAACTGTACAGAATAAATAGTTCATAGAAATCTAGCTATACTTCCTGTAAAATAAAGCTACATCATCCCACTCTTGAGGCAACTTACAATATTTACTCTAGAAGTGCCTTTTTGCTACAAATGTATGGCAAATATCAGTAAACATCAATAAAAATACAGTAATCTTTTTCTATTTGTTTTATAACTCTGAAATACTTTCCACAAAATGTTTGTTTCTATCATGGTCATTCAAATTTACAAGGAATTAATTCTATGAAATAAGCAAAATTTAATAGGTGCACTAGTTTTATTTACAGTTGAATCTCAGTAGCATATTAAAATTTCCCAAGAATAAGGATAAACGTTTGAGCACAAATGACATACTTTTTTTCACAGCAGCATTGACAATAAATGTCCACACAAAATGTGCAGAAAAGCAATAAAAACTTTCTTTATTCCACCTGAACTAGTCATTATTTCTGTTTTAAAATAAAAAGCATAACAGTGGCATTTGTCAAAATTTTAGACCACTTGAAGCACAAACACTTATAGCTTCCTTTTTGTACTGCTACTTTTAATACAAAAAGTTTGATAAATGCATATCAAATTTCCAGTTCCTTTTGTTTTTATGGAAAATACATGGATTTGAAAATTTACAGTTTTATAGTATGTATATAGTGATTGTATAAACAGTATATACTCTTTATATATTTTCACTACATATACAGTTACTGTTTATAAGTGATGAAATCCAATTTCATTTAATCCATGGGTAAAAGTAATTCAAGGAAATAAGGTTGTTTAAATTCAACCCTTTTAGATGTGCAAGACAATGTCTATGATACACTTTTTCTTATGTGGAGAAATATCACTATAATCCTTGCAAAATAAACATACAAGGATATTTCTTTTTTTAATTGGGGGCAGATTAAGTTGCCTGAAGATAATGCAATGGCTTCTCCCAGTGATCCCTGAGCTGCTTTTTCTCCTTTTTATCCCATAGGATGGCTGCTGTGCTTAAGTTCTGATTGATGACACACTCATGGAAGGCACTTAGTTCCAAGATTTGGACTTAAACAGAACCACAGCATTTCTGCAAAAGCCCTCGGTCACCATCCTCTAACTTTGCTGCTCCAGAACTTCTAAATAGTCAGGTTCAGCATGCAAGTTAGCTTTGAGCTCAAAATACTCATTTTTAGTCTGTTCCACTAATACCTTTCGTGGCCTTGAGTACATCAATGTCTCCATTAGTTTTAACTTTTCATGGGCTCCTGGGTAGTGCACCTCCATATCGGGCTGGAGCTGAGGGATGTTTTTCCTTAGATACTCTGTGATTCCCAGTTGCTGAAGTTCTCTTTCTTTCTCCAAAATGTTTCGATACAAAGAACTTGCGTCCTGGAAAGACAGAAACTCAGTAGATTGGTCTGTGGCTTTGAATTTCATATCAGATCCTGCGAGTGGTGAATGCTTTTCCCGTTCCAAAAGACTTCTTTGGAGCTGTTTTGTGTCACTTCCCTCTTTATCATTCTTTTCTTCTTCCTCTTCCAAATGCTTTGGACCAAAGGATGGACTTCTGTAGACATGGACCATGGGGCTTACCATATGTTGCTCGTAGAGTGATGCGCTGGGTCTCTCGGTCATGTGGTGAGTCGTTTTATGACCATACATACTATACTGAAGATGTACAGGACTATTGTCTCTCATTTGCTCCTCCACCTGTTTCTTTTTGTATCTTCTCCTGCGGTGGAGAACAAGAACCACAATGCCAGCAGCACAGAACACAATTGTTATGAACACAATCAGTAGTCCTAATATCAAAACGGAGAGTGGAACAGCATCAGTAAGAGACCTCAGAATGGTACTGCCTGTACTGGTTGTGGCTGTGGGCGTCGTAATGACTACATAACTAGGCTGGCTTGGCAGGGATGGGTTATTTACCAAACCCGGGCAAAGAAGTTCACTATTTAGAGCTTTCAATTCTTTCTTACTGAGATGCTCTGGAGAGGTGCAGATGATGTCATCTGTCACAGTACTTTTGCTTAATTTTTGTATCCATTGCTGCAATCCCACCAGGTCACAGGAACAGTCCCATGGGTTGTTCTCAAGCTCAATCTGGGTTACTAAATCAAGGTCATCCAAGATGTTACTTACTGGTAGGTGAGAAAACTGGTTTGTTTTAAGATTAATTCTTGTTAAGGGAATGCCTGCAAAAATATGTGGTGGTAAAACTTGTAGAAGGTTGTTATTTAAATAGAGGACTTTAAGTTTAATCATAGGGTTAAAGGTTCCTGGTAGTATTTCTTTAATAGCATTGTATTCAAGATATAAATACTCCAGACTGTGGAGTCCAAGAAACATGCCTCGACTTAATTTTGTCAGATGATTCCCATTGAGATAGAGCTTTTGTAATCTTGTTAAATTCATAAAGGAACCTTCTTCAAGCACCTCAATACGGTTGTTTCCCAAATGAAGCATCTCCAAAGTGAAATAGTCCACAAGATCAGACTTCACTAATGTATGAATAATATTTCCTGCTAGGATAAGCTTTCTAGGATTTTGTGGAAGAGGCTTTAGATCCAATAGGCTTTCAATATTGTGCTCTTGACAGTGTATTAGAAGTCCCGATGGGGATAATACTTTGCAGTTGCAAGGAACAGGACAGTAGGATCCTGGGAGTTGAGTGGATGGCTTTGAAACATAAGGTATCAAACCTGGTGCTCTGGTGGGGGACTTTAACAGAAAGGGGGTCTTGGTTGATATGTGACTGTCTTTTATTGAAGATGTTACTGCCAAGTTTAGTGACCCTGAAGGCTCCTCATGCTCTTCGTAGACTGGGGGAGTAGAGCAAATAGATTCCTTTTTTATACGGCTTAGTATGCTTCCTTTTAAAATCGGAGGGCTGTTGCATATAACATCACCAATTATTGACTGCGGAGGCATGTTTTCCAACCAAATTTTTAGCTGCAGTAAGTCGCAGTTGCAAGCCCACTTATTATCCTCCAATTGGAGATCCAATATTCGGCCAATGTGTTCTAAAAATCCAACATAAGGCAGTGTTTGCAACTGATTTCCACGAAGATCTAGATGAGTTAAAGGTACGAATCGAAATATGTTTGGTGGAAGACTCTCAATGGCATTGTCATTTAAAATTAACACTTTAAGTCTGTTGAGTTTGCTAAAGGCACTTGGTTCAATCACTGTAATGAAATTGTTATCTGCTTGGAGGAATTCCAGATTTTCCAGTCCACGGAAGGTGTCCTCCTTCAGAATTTCCAAAGAATTGTGATTGATATGAAGCTGCTTAAGAAGGCCAAGGCCATTGAATGCACCAGTCTCAATATCTGCAATATTGTTAAATCCAAGGTGTATGGAGAGGGCGTTGGTAAGCCCAGAAAAGTCATTGGTGTGGAGCACTGTCAAGTCATTATTCAACAAATTCAGGTGGAATGGTCGTGATGGGGGCACACTGATTTGGGAGATCTTCTTGATGCCTTTTTCTTCACAGTTTATTAGCATTGTGCCATCTTTTTCCTCACAATGGCAGAAAGAGTCACAAGAGCCTCTGGCTGAAGACACTGGAGACTGGGACTGCAAGGACAACCAGGCAAGAAGAGCTGAATAGAAGAAATGAATCCACAGCTTCATGTTGTCATGGAATTGAGTCCAAGTCTGTAAAATAAAGAATGAGAGCAAAAGAGTTTAGTGGGAAGGAGCAGGGACAATATAATTCCGATATTCTAAAATGATAGATGTTCCAGAGAAAAAAAGGAGAATATCCAATAATAAAATACATACATATATATAACTGCATTTATACTTTCTACTTTTTAATTATTTTCTTCTCCTAAGACTAGGAGCGTTGTGGTTTGGATGACTTTTAAATTGCATCATGGTCAAAATATGACATTTAGACCAAGGAGAATTTAAAGTATCACAATGCATTTTTATATTTGCCAAATAATGCCTATTTTTTTAATAAAAGAAAGAGATTCTAGCTAAATGGACACTGATATAGTAATATGTTGCAAAACAGTGTATTCAAGAATAGCATGGTGATTATATATATATATATATGAATTTAAATAATATGAGACAAAACAGAAGTTTTAATGAGATGTGAAAAGATTTAAAGAGAACATAAAAGTGAGGAGTGAGTAGAAACACATATATGTGTCAGAGAATACATGGATGACTCTATATGCCTTTCCTTTAAATTTTAGCTAGTTATCACTAAAACCTTATCAAATTACAGTTTCTATATTGTAGTTTTAGATTATGAATAAAGATCATTTTTCATTTTTTATTTCTCTATCAAAAACCTATGAAGAAAATAGAGCTTTAATGGTAACGAAAGAGAATACATTGTTGTTGTTATTATTTAAAATCTGTTTGAAGTTGTTTAAGAATGTTTAGAGATGCATGAAATGTTCAGAGACATATGCTTAAAACTACTCACTCAAATTTCACTTGAGACAACTTTATAGTCACTTTCCAGAGAATAGGCTATTTTCCAATGTTATATAACTCCATGACAGACAAAACCTTAATAACTAAAGAAAAAGATAACTTTGACTCCATATCTTGAGCTGTTAAAAAAGCAGTAATATGGCATGCAGACTTCAGCAAATGACTTCCTAATGTGGCCTTGAAACAGGCTTTAGGGCACTGAAAGGCATCACATAATTAAATAGTTCATTTCCTTTATTCTATGACTTAAAGTTTCTAACAAAGAATTTTAAAACAAATTGCACTATGTCAGAGCACTTGAGATTATCTCTATGCCTATGAATACATCACTACATGTCCCAGCTGATTAAAAATTCAAAACTAATATATATGAAACAGTAGGGTTTGGTTTTTTGTTGTTTGTTGTTGTTGTTGTTGTTGTTTTAAATATACAACTTTATGAAGCAGCCATGACAAGGCAAATCTGAGTAAGTCTATCGGCATTTAAATCTATTTTACTTTTCTATACTGTATCAACTTTCTGAAAGAATCTTAAAGCTAGAAAAGCATGGTGTTATTCATGACTCTTCAATTTTTAAAATAGTATTTTCTTTTTCCCCTACCTCTACCCCACTGATGAAATGTAAACAGTGATTTTAGTCCCATTTGACATTCACAACGAGATAAAACATTCCACAGTAAGGTTAATAACCCTAAATATAAATGTTCATTCTCTGAAAATACATTTTTTTAACTGAAAATGTACATGGTATAAGTTTCTTAATGACAAAAGATTACCAAAGAGACAGGACTAAACTTATCCATGTGCATGAGAAGTTTATCAGTGTTTCCGTAGGAAAAGAGTTTGATTTTCCAATAGCTCTGAATGTTGTGATTAGAATTAAGCAGTTTGAAATGAAAGTTTTCAACTTGTAGACTGACTTCCCCAAACATTAAAAGTACTTCTGCACAGGTTATCAAGAAAGAGGATAATTAATTCCACCAGGCACAGCATCTTAAGAACATGGTAAATGATTTCCAGATGATTTCTCCTCAATTATTTATCTTTTACACATTTAAAATGAACATATACCTGTCCAACAACAACAAAAAAGTAATTTCTTATCTTCTCAGAAACATATGCAAATTTGAACAGTCTTAACTGGTAATATTGCATACAATTTTAAAGAGAACAGAAATCATTGTTTACATATTTTCAGCAGAAAAAAAAATCTATTTGCAAGTCTGAAAATAAAGGCAGCAGCATACCAAACACAAAGATTCTTTAGAAATCCCAGCTGATGTTTCTAATAATAGAACAATGATGTTTTTAAAGGTGATCTTGAGCAAGTCCACTTACTTAATTTCCAATATCATCAAACTGCACACTGTAAAAATACAGTGGCGTGTTTTCAGTCTGTCCTTTGCAGCCAGCTGTTGGACTAAATGTGTGCTACTCAGAAACAGAGGCATCTGCTCCAACATTAAGAGTGCCAGGGAGAAAGACTGAAATCAGATAGCCCTCCGTGCATTTGCAGTGCAACAGAAAAGAAAGAAAACCACATGTAGAAATTCAGTTACTTTAGCGAAAACTACTTAAAAGGAAAGCTTGGAAGCGTTCACCTTACCTGTAAAGCAGAGACTTCCTGGTGTTATCTGTAATACACAGCTGGAAAAGATGTTCAAAGAAATTCAGTTTCTTTCTTTAAAAAAAAGAAAACAGCAACCACCATGTACTTTCTTCTCAAATATCACTCTCTGATATGTTCCATCGCGTCCTAAAGTGAAACGCTTCGGCCACAGACAAAATGCTAAGCATTTCATGAAAAAAAAAATATCTCCAGCACAGTACATGCTAGATCATCCTGAAGCAGTGGTCCATTTTCCCCCAATTAAAATTCACGGCATACTTCACAGCTGTGCTGACTTTCCTTCATATAGTTAACCACTTGCAGGCTGTTGAAGGCAGGAAACAAACAAGATGTGTCACAGAGCCAGGACTGATCACTCTTTCTCTCTTGGGTCGTGGATGCGAGCTGAGCTGAGTTCCCTTTTCCCTTGGTCTAGTCTTTCTTGTTAGCTGAGTTTGCTCTTAGTCAGATTGCCAAGGGCTGGGAGGTAGGCGGAAAGAAAGAGACTTCTTGGCTTTTGACTCAGCCTGTAAGCCCTTCCCCATCGGAGTGCTTTAATCTGCCAGAGTCATTTAACGCAAGAGGCACTCCACCTGGAGACCGCTCAACTCCTCCTCTTGCAGACAATGGTCTTCCTACTCCTTTCAGTAGCAAATTGAAGGCAAGACAATAGTGATGGCAAGGTGACGCACTGTTTGAAACATTTGAGTATTTAAGAATATATGTTGCTATTATTTAAAAGTCAACATAATAGGGGATGCTAAATTCTCATTTCATATAGTGCCTTTTGCACACATGTGGGGAAAAAGAAATGCAAGCATTCTGCCTGCAGTGTAGTTGGGTGAGTTCTTTCACTGGTATTTATGGTAGAAATTAGGCAGTAGTTAAAGTTTACAGTGTTACCATGGACCACATTCACATAACATGTTTGCAAGCATCTTTCTAAAATACCTACATGCTATCGTGAGAAATCCTAAATATTAGACTTCATTGTTTTCCTCTGTTAATTAATGAAACTGGGGTTGAGAATTTCTTGCAGTTATTTCAAGTTACCCTGTCTTTGGAATAGAATAATGATTATTTCAAAAGATATTAAAGAATCTTTAATTAAACCATGATTATCATTAATACAATTCTCCTTATCACTCTCAAAAATAGAAATTACTTCTCCCATGTGTTTTACTGCCTCTGAAAACCCACTGGAGGGTCAGCTATGAGCTGATTCTAACTAAATGTCACATAACAACAACAACAACAATAAACAGTATAATGCAAGCATCCTTCTTCCTACAGCACTCACAGCAGAATTTTTTCTCCATAAAGGTTATAGTTAAAGAATTATCTATTCTTCAGCTGTTAAAAGTTTCTGATTCATTACTAATAAGACTCTCAACTGTCAGACACCTTAATTCCCCAAAGACCTGTGCTTTAAAAATTATTCTACTTCACCTGTACTCCAAGTACCTGAACATTTTCACATTTAAAATGAATATGTTAGAATCTGTCATACATTTATTTTGAAACATTCCATTTATAGAAACATGCTTGTATATTCTAGAATCTGCCTATATAATGATCCATTTTAGCAAATGGTATTCTTTTTAAAAAGGGAATTGCATGTAGCATAATTCAGAAAAGTAGGAGAATATCAGCCTAGATCTTTATTTAATAATTATAATTATGTGCTCAATAGATATGAAGGTTTTTTTTAATATTTTTATAGAATATGTATTTAAAAATAGATGTTTTGAGAGAATATATCCAGTTTCTCATCTACATAATTTCCCTCTCTTAGCGTTCCATATTTATTTTAATAACATTGTGTATATAAAAAGAAACATAGATGATGATGCAGATGCAAATCTGGAGAATGAGTCTAAAGATAAGCCACGGGTGCAGCGAGGGGAGGTGAGGGACTAATCTTTGCCACAATTGCCTGCTAGTTGGTGACAAAGTTAATTTAATTTCCATAAACCTAATGAATTAGGCAGGTAGTGATACAAATAAAAGGATGCGAATCACCAGAAGGATCAGAATCATTTCCTTTCCAACTCTATAAAAGTATTTCTCAAAAATGTATTGATTCAGAGGCAAAAATTAGAGAAAAAAATCTTTTTGAAGTGTGGACCCTGGGGAATAATTTGTGCCATGTTGACCAAGCCTAGCTTACACCTACGTGGATTAAATTTCCTGAGGACTTAGATGTTTTCCCTTCCCCCCCGCTTTTTTATTATTTCTTTCAAAGTGCAAGTGTGTGCGTGCGCGTGTGTGTGTGTGAGAGAGAGAGAAGAGAGAGAGAGAAAAAGAGAGAGAGGTTCTAGTGGTGTAGTGCAAACCAAGCCAGTAGCTTAACTAACCGTTTATCCAAGGAAAAAAGCTGAGCAACTTCTTTCCATTAAGATTCACAGCCTCTGAAAGCAGGTGGAGGATGCTTTGAATTAGAAGTGACTCTAGGGAAGTTAGCTCATGAACTTGCCAAAAGCTTGAAGTTTCTTCTTTAGAATATATTGTCCACAGAGTTTCCAAGACTAGAATCATGGAAGCTGCAACATTGTTCCTCATAAGTAA